GGTGAATGACCAACAGCAGGAACCAACTGGACACAGAATTATGTGGAGAGCCAGGACAGAAGCCAGCAGAAGTGGCATCTGGTGAGGTCTTTTCCTCATAAATGGCACTTGGGTTGTCCGGAGAGGATGACTGGAGTGGCAGGTCCCCTCTGCACTTTCCTATAACCACCTCCCTTCACATTATCTTACTGCAGAGTAAACTTAGCATCCACGTTCACAGAGGACATTGGTAGACACAAATGTCAGCTACATGCCGGGTACTGCTGACCAGAGAGAGAAAGGGACTGAACATGTCCCAAAGGCCCTGGGAGAATGGAGAAGGCTCCAGAGGGAGCAGGAGCCACCCGAGCAGCTGAGCACAGGACCCTGGGGGGGTCTCCTGAGGCTGCTCTGAACCAGCCCTGCTTGGGATTCCGAGTCACTACTGCCCCTCTGTCCTCCAGCTCAGCGCTTTAATAGTGTGTGAAGCTTGAGAGGCGCCTCCCGCTTGTCTGAGCAAGATGACATGGTGTCCACAAAGGACTGGAGCCTATGGCCTTCTCAGAAACAGTCTCTAACAATCCCAGCTCTATCCTTAAATCCCTACAACTGAGGGAAGGAGAGGGACCTGGGCCAGCAGAGGCCCAGCACTGACCCACGTGGTACCTGTTGAGTGCCAAGGGCATAGTGGGGGGCTTAGGTCAGTTCTCACTGCTCTTCCCATCCACTAAGGCCAGGCTACCCCCAGAGAGTACAAAACCCACAGGCACTAAAGACTTTGGGGAGACTCTGTAGCAGTACTGCTTCCCGGGGTCCAGAGGGTCAGAAAAGGCACTAGCGCAGACATGCAGCTACCCCAGGCATCAGGCACAAGGATAGGGGTCTAACGCAGCAGCACTGGCCCTTCCCGTGGACCAGTACAGCTGGCCTGGGTCAGCTGCTGTCAGCCTTTCCTAATCAGAACTGCGATTCGCTTCCCACGTTCCTTCCTCTCCCGAGGGACAGAGAGGACCTGGCGGAGCTCTCGGGCAACAAGGCTGCATTGGTGGGTGTGACAGAAATGGGACTGGAGTCACTATGACAGCTGAGAGTGGGTGAGACGGGCTTCTTGGGAACCTCGGTTTGGGGGAGCCTCCTTGGGGACAATGACATAGTGTCCACGAAGAGCTGGCACCCACAGGCGTCTCGTGAACATTCCATGGTAACCCCAGCTCTACCCTTAAAGCCGTACGGCTGAGGGGGAAGAGAAGGGCTATCTGCTGGAATGATGCCAGCCCCGGTCTCTAAGCATTTCCTTGAATCCTCTAATGAGTGGAGAAGCTGTGAGTCCTATCTGTCCTGTTTGATTGCCCAGACACACATCTTAGCGGGGGACTACGTCCAAGCTCCACCCTCATGACACTAAAGGTGAGTCCTGGGATGGCTTTTGCCACAGACACTTCGTGGAAGTGGAGATGCGTTCAGGGCCCTGGAACGTACAGCAAGGAGCTCTGCTGGGGAGAAGAAAGACAGTTCGGTTGGTGCTTGCCTCATCAGCATGAGGGCTGGGTGTGGTGGTGTGAACCTGCAGCCCCAGATCTGGAAAGGGAGAGACGGGGACACTCCTGGGGTTCACTGGCTGCTGGGCTACTTGGTGAGTTCCAGACCAATGAGAGCCTGTCTCAGAAAAGAAGGCTGATAGCATCTAAAGAACAAGACAGAGTGTTCTTCCCCTACACACACTCATGTACACATACATACACACTAAACAAAATGAGCGTCACCGAAGAGCCTGATAGGTCAATCATACATGGGCCTGGGTCCACCTATGCAGGCCCAGTCCAGAACAGAGACCGGATCCCACCCAGCAGGGCAGAAGCAGTGGCTGGTGTCACTCAGACCACCCAGTCCCGCTGAATGGACTCGGCCCTGGCTCCAGCAGAGCCTCCCAACACATGACGTACACCAGCCTGGACCAGGTCTCAGGGCCGGGGCCAAGACACCTCGGGCCAGACTCCCATGCCAGCATTCTGTTTTACAGCAGCTATTCATCACTCAGAGCGGTTTCTGGGCTCACCCCACCATCAACTCTGCACACACCTCCCCGCGTGAGCAAGCAAGGCCGTCCTTTCCTCCTGGGATGTCTTCATTTCCTACAGCCTGTGCTCACACATGCAGGCAGCCTGCGCCCCACGAGCTCTGCTGCCTCACGTATTGGCCAGAGGAGGCCGGGCTGGCAAGGAACAAAGAAAGCACAGCAGGCCCCTGGCTCATGGTGGAGGCCCTTGGCCATGAGGTGACTTAGAACTCCAATCATCCCAAACTCGCAGAGCTGGGGCATGAACCCCACGGGAGGTGGGGAGGTGGGGAGGTGGGGAGGAGGGGCTGGGGCCGGGAAGAGGCAAGGAAAGAGAAGGCGGGTGCTACAAGGCCAAACCATCCTCTGCCTAAGACTCCACCCTGTAGTCATGTTCCTGCCTCTACCCACCTCTGTCAGAGGCAAAGACCTGGTCTACCCTTAGGGGAATCCAAACAGAGACTCCAATGTCTCATGAAGGAACAGAAGTGATCTTGGGGCCACAGGCCTGCAATCCCAGCTACTCAGGAGGCTGGTGCAGGGAGATCTCAAGTTCCAGGCCCTCCTGGGCCGCAGAGTGAGGTCCAGGAAAGCCTGGGAAGTTTAGTCAGACCCTGTCTCAAAGAGGGCTGAGGGGATGTGCGGCCCAGTGGTAAGCTGCTTGCCTGGCACGAGCCAGGCCCAAGTCCAGCAGCACCCATGGATGGCCCGCTTTGGTCTTGGGTCATCACCCTCTTCTGCCTTCTTTCTGCTTCCTGCCCGGGGTTGTAAGTGGAGGCTGGCTTGCTGGCACTGCACTCAGCTCCCCAACATCCATGTCCCACTTGGATGGCCGATCAACACAGCACACCAGCTCTAGAGCACACACTACAAACTCCAGCTTCTGGGAGGAAGATGACCCACGCCCAAGAGCACCCCTCTCCCGGAAAGGACAGAAGTGAATGGGCTGAGAAGATGAGAAGACAGCAATTCTTTCTCTGGGGCTCTGTAGGCCTTGGGGGGGTCATCCCTACACATACCTGCCCGGAACCCCACTGCAGAGCTTCCGCCCTGCTCTCCTAGGCTGTAAGAAACATGGGGTCAGTTTAGAGCCAAGATCTGCCTGACCAACTGCATCACCCCAAAGCAACTGACCAAAAGCTGGGGCAGGCACGCTAGACAGAAAGAACCTACCTACCCATTTCATCCTGACACTGACGTCCATGCGAGGGGCTTCTAGGGTGTCTCCGTGACTATGCTGGGCCTTCCCATGCCTGCTCGCGGCCTGGCCCCAGGGACAGCAGGCACTCTGACTGATCAGGGCTTGGTCTAGCAGCCACTCCTGCTGATGTCTGTCCCCAGCTTGCAGTTCTTACACAAGGGGAGATATCCATACGGATAACCGCCATGCATTCCAGAAGACAGACCAGAGGAATGCCGGGAGTCTTCAATTGCCCAGCAGAGCCCTTAACCTGGCCATTCGTACGTCACTGGAGAGTGGGGATTTTCAGACTCCCCATCAGGAAAGGTGAGGCTCCAGGGGCAGTGGACAGGCACCCTAGGTCACAGCCCCATCTAGGAAGCCATAGGGCTGAGGAGCCTGATTCCATCTTGGGCCAAGAAGCAGCGGTCACGGAAAGGGAGCTGCAGAGCAGGTACCACTTGGGGGAGGGTATAGCCAGTGCTTGGTTAGGTGAACTGGCTCACAGCAAACTATCTGTACCAAGTCTTTCAGTTTGCTCCTTAAACCAGCTTAGCGATCACTCCCTCTTTTCGGAGGGAGATACCCCAGGCTTGCGGCAATGAAGAAGGCTCTGTAGGCTCTGTGACTGATGGGGACCAGAAAATCTCCCTAGGACAAGCCTGCACGTCACAGTGGGGGGGATGGGCTACCGAAGGTCTTGCACACTTATGTACAGCCATGTCACAGAGACACAAGAAAGGGGATGGGGGCGGCAAGCTGCTCCCTAGAATTGACTTAATAAGCCAGTTCAAATCATGAGCCATCTCTAACACTGGTGCCAACCCAAGCCCCAAATCTCTGCTGCCAGGAAGTTCTGGATGGGACCCAGGTGGACCTGCAAGCCGGGGTCTCAGTTGTGAGGGCACCATCAGGGACTGGTTACACAGGCATGGGGACACAGATGCAATCATTAACCCTGACCTGCACTGCCCTCCTGGGACATCCAACTCTCGGCCCCAAACCCATACTTACTTCCCTTTAGTCTAGACACATGGAGGCACAGACTGAGAGCTGCCCCACAGCTAGGGCACGACCCTAGGTCACAGCAACGTTCCCCACCTCCAACCTCCTGCTGGCCGTCGGAACAAGTTAAGAAGGAGAACATGGGAATCCATTCTTCTAGAATGTCCCACGCAGAGCAGACACTCCCGCCTCAATGCTTCTCCCAACCCCATGACCAGCAGACTAGGCCCCCACTTGTGGGCAGATGGTTCACAGATGGGCAGTTGGATGGCTGGAGACAGTGGGACACTTAACTGAGGACATTCTAGGGCACAAGATGACAGTGACCATCTGATACGGCGAGCAGAGACAGGCTGTTGACCCTGGCCACTGATGGCCCCAAACACTCCGGGAGGCCCAGCTGTTCAAACCAGCGTGAGTCCAGACGTCAGGGCAGCCAGAGAATGAGGAGCTGGGGACAGTGGGGCCTCCTCCATCCTCCTGCTCCCTCCCCTCTCTGTTCCCTGTGTCTCCCCAGGACCGTCTTCTGTCTGGTCTTGATTTTGCTGACAGCCTGCCAGCAACATTGGGGCGGAGTTATGGGGGCCAGTTCAGAGCTGGCAAGCTTCTTCCAGCCCCGGGCCTCTCGACAGTCCTTGACAGGCAAGGTTCTATCAGGGTCGCCCGGCATCCACAGGGATGTGGCTCTTCCCCCATAGGGATTTAGCACCTAGGACTAGCATGGGCTTGCCCCTGGCTCCCACCTCCCCTCCTCAGGGCAGAGCAACAGACAGATCCTACCTTGGCAGGTTTTGCCATCGCCCTGAAGCTGGTAGCCAGGTGGACAGCGGCAGTAAAAACCACCCACGGTGTTGCAGCAAGGGCCTTCACAGCCCCCGTTGGCATTGGCACACTCGTCGACATCTGTGGCGAGAAAAGCAGATGAGCATTGGGCCATGGAAACTCGGTGTCCCCAAGGGTTAGGGGAATATCAGCTAACAAGCCAGACCCTCAAAGAGGGACCCAATAAATTGACCCAGGGTCAGACTGCCATCCTCCCCTTCCACCCAAGCACCCAGGGAAGTGGCTCTCTTTGCATCCAGTGTAACGTGTCTACAGGACACGAGGATCTGACCTTTAGGAGCAGCCACAAGCAGTGGTGTTAGCCCTGGAGCATCCTGTGTGCCCTGGTGAACCACCTGTGCAGCCCTGGAGCATCCTGTGTGCCCTGGTGAACCACCTGTGCAGCCCTGGGCTTTCCAAGGAAACCAAACTCCCTTTGCTCTGCAGCGAGAGGACCCCACGTGATTCCTCTTCGTAGCTGCCAGAACTCTGCCAAGAGACTCAGCACTCTGGTCCCACCAGGACAGCTCTGGGCTCCCGTCATGACCAGGTGACACCGTGTCAGGTTAGGGAAAGCAGTGAACACAGAGTCAAGCTGCTGGACCCAGACTGCCAGGTTCTGAGCCCGTGGCTCCCTTTCCTCCACCAGTTCTTAGGGTCCAGAGCACAGGCGGCAACTCTGGGTTCAGGCTTACCCAGGAGCAATGGTGCTTCAACTGCCACCCGATGTGGCTAGCCTGGGACTTAAGGGACCAGGTTTCTGAGAGAGGTTAGGGGGTGTCAGAACCTCATGAATGTGTTGAGTCGGGATCTAGGGCCTCCGTCCACTGGCCTGGTCAGACTGCCTCAGCTGAGTCTAGGGAAGCTGAACCACAGTGTCCCCAACCACTTACCTCCAAAGGTTTAGGCTGTCCCCTGTAGTTTCTAGGAAGGCTCAGGGCAACGGGTACCCCAACATGTCACAGGCACACATGGTTAAGCCTTTATTCTACCTGCCATGCTATTGCTGGGAAGGAGACTAAACCCCACCCCAGTGACATACAGGTCGTAGACAGAACCAGGTGTGGGCACTCTCGGGCCTGAGTTGGCTCAAAGCTTGCCCAGTGGCCCAGAATCTCTTCACGTCTCCTCAGGAGGGTCCCTCGAAGAACTTCCCTCGGCTAAGCTAAGGGCCTCAGAGATACCCATAGTCCCGTGAGGACAGCGGTGGCCAAAGGACACTGGCCAGCTGCCTCTGGAATCTTGGAACAAAGCCACCACCCTGCGAAGTCTACAGTGGGAATTTCCTAGGAATTCCTGGGAAGTTACACAGAGTCTCAGCAGAGGTCATGGCTGGGGTACCTAGTGTCCCCTGTCTGCTGGCCTGAGGAGACAGCACCAAAGCCAGGCTGGCTGGCCAGGATATGAGACACGACGCAGCTTCTAGGTCTGTCCTGTCGTTCAGACCACTGTGTGGGAAGCTGGAGAGGAGGCCAGTGGGGACTCGCAGGTCAGGATCACAGACCAAGGTTCTCTCATGGTACTGTCTGGGCCCTGGGTCTGGGTTAGGGAACCTCGCAAGGCCATACCGCGGTCAAGTGGGCGTTAGAGTGAGCATGCCCACTGCTGCTCAGAGCCTCAGGCGCTCCGCATGTCTACAGAAAAAGCCCTGAGCTTGGCACATCAATGAGTCACAGCGCCTGGTACCTGGGACAGACACTTGTTGCCCTGTTACCATAGCAGCGGCTAGGGGCTCCTATCCCGAGAATGCCTGAGAAATTCCTTTCGCTTCTGGGCTAGCCTAAGCCATGCTGGGTCCCCACGGCCCTAATCACCTGCATTGGGGGATCATCCACACTGGACACATAATCCTCAGAGAAGATCTGATCCCACCCATCTCAGGGTTCCTGTCTCCAGCCCAGGCCCACGGGGGCTACGGGAAATAACAAATGCCACATAAATTCCATGCATAAGAGCTCCAGGACAGAGGGCAGAGCACTCCCTCCCAAGCTACGACAATCGTTGCCACAACCAGACACCAGGAGAGCAGGGTAGAGTGGACAGGTCTCCGTGCTGAGCCCCCTTCTATACACAGAGCAGGACCAGACGGTCATCTGGGCGATGATGGAGGCATTTCAGAGGCCCCCATGCTGCACTTCCAGTTTATAGTAAACCGTTCAATAGAGCCCCCCCATCACTTGTGTGTAAACTGTCCCATCTCTGCATGCCCTTTGAGGTCTGCCCTGCCCTCCATAGCACTAATAAATATGTCCCAGTCATCACCTGTTCCTGAGGGTGGTGGCCTGCAAAGACAGGGTTTTCATGCTTTGGGTAGAAACTTTCATGAAATCCTCTCAAACCAACACAGTTGGGAGACCGTAACGTTGGCATCCACACACACAGTGACCTGAAGCAAGACCCTTCATAGCATAATCCACTGGAGGCAGACCTAGAGCCTAGCACAGAGGTCCCACCAAGTAGTTGCCCTTGCAGTCCTGGCTGGCATCACCCCTGATGCTGAGGCCGATGACTAAAGATGGTCATTCTAAGACAATATACGCAACCCTCATGCGCCTTTAACAAAACAACAAACCGGGGCCTTGGCCCCTTGAGTCCACTCAGGGTTCACTAGGATGTCTCTACAGTTCCCAAGGATGTTCCCCTCACCCCTGTCAGCTCACTAAACACCTCCACAGTTCACTAGGACACCCCAGGAAATACCTCCACATGTCAGCTCACTAAGACACCTCCACAGTTCACTAGGACACCCCAGGAAATACCTCCATATTCCTCTTTCCGATGCTCTACTGTCCCCATGTCAACGTCAGTCCTTCGGCAGCCCCCTGCGGTTCTGAGGTCATAAGGAGTGAAAGGGAACCGGTCCCAGGGGGCTGCACACTGCACCACTCTATCAGTCGAGACAAAGCACAGAAAACAGACGATGAGCCGGTGCTGTGAGCCACCATGATGGCAGACAGGGCTGTCCACAAGGTGACAAAAGCACTGGAGGGTAAGAGGTGATGGCTCACAGTGCAGAAACACGCCAGGTGACACTGAAACCTGAGCCCCAAGAGTTGGTTTTTTAATGATGTGAGGTTCACCTCAATTTAAACAGAAAAAGAGACGATCTTCCTGCCAGGTGTGCCCACTGCTTTGGGGATTTTAATGCAAAGCAAAAAGCGGGGCCTGGGTCCCTCTACAGCTCAGGCCCCAGTGCGGTGGCTCTACACATAAATGAGTGCCCAGCCATGAAGACACGGTGGCATCTCGGGAACCAGCCTGAAATGGCTGGCACAGCCTCACCTGCACGTCCATCAACCCAAGATGCTAACGGGTACGTTGGTAGGGTTCTCAGATGGGCTGTGAGGACCTCAGGTGTGGCTCACGTGTGACAGCCGGCAGCATTAGCATTAACGCACACAGCATCCCCACCGAGCAGGTGTCCCACAGATCCAGTCCTGCCAAACCTGGGCACAGCCCCCTAACACGGCGACGCATGGTGGGGCTTCCATAGGGGCCCATTGCCGAGAACAAAACAAAGTCCTAGGAAGCACAGACAAACAGCCAAGGCCGGCGCAGACCCCAGGGGACAGACCGCGTGCTTGGCCCACTTGGCCGTCATTAATCATCTAGGGTGGAGGTTGCTGGGAGTGACAGGGCCGTGAGGGCGTCAGTAGGAGGTGTGGTGTGAAACTCCCCTCCCCCTGGAGGAGCAATTCTGGAAAAACACTGAGAATGGTACAAGACCTGGCCCTGAACTGGTCCGCATCCACACGTCCCTCAACAGCCGCTGTCTGATAGACAGACCTCTGGCAAGCGGGTCTGGAATCCTCCCCTGGGGACGGATGTCCCCAGGATGCCCTTCCTCTCCTCCTGTCAAGGCTGGCTTCACCGTATCATTCCAGCCCAGAGGGGTCTCTAGCAAACAGTCCGCCAAGGACAGGACGCTGTGGTCTCTCCTGCCCCACACATCCTCCCACTCTGCAGGGTGAAGGCAACCTTTACACAATGTCCTGTGCAAGGAGACCATCAGGGGAGTTGGATGGAGGGCAGAGGCCAGAAACTGGGGAGAAGGGGAGGCTGTGGCTCCCTCACACAGGAGATAATCCCGGCCCACAGTCGTTGTCTGGGGTATGGTACTTATAAGGTGTATCCCCTCCCCCACTTCACGCTAGATGTGAGGCCAGGGTAGGCAGCATGCCACCAACCTGCACTGGGCTCCAAGCTGGGCATCACCACCAGGTACGACCCAGGAACCTTTCTCAGTTCCTGACACCCCACTTTACCCCTAAAAACACAGCCTGCTTAGCATCCTGGCCCCAGCTGGAGGCAGGATGAAACATGAATCCAAGCCTGGCCACAATGCTGCCTATGACCCTGTCCTCACCTGTCCTCCCCCAACCCCAGGCAGCCCTAGGTTCTGAGGAGAAGACTAGTGACCAGGACCCAGAGGGCCATGAGGACATGATAGCATTAAAGTATCTGGGGCTGGGCCCAGAGCAGAGCCCAGGAAGAGTGGGGGAACCTAAAAAGAAGGCAAGGGAGACAGCCAAGAAAACAGGAGCCCCAGTCTGGGAGGGCAGCTTGATGGACAGGCCATCTGCCCCACCCACCTAGCTCTGCTCCCCGGATAACCCAGAGTTGGAGGCAGCATCCACCAATCCCCCACCTGGGGGGCCCCCAGGTCCATCCTGCCCACAGCTCAGGCTTGGCCCAAGGACTGGAGCCCAGCCAACCCTAAGGACTAGCAAGAAGGCCCACTTAACTAGCATGCTGGGCTAGAGGACACAGTCCCCTTCCAAAGGTACAGGGGAGGGCCCACCTACCTTCGTGTGGGCTCCCTTAAGACTAGGGTCACCAGCCCTCCCACCTTGAGCAAGAGACTCACAACCTATGGGACCTTCCTGTGAGACCCAGGCCTGCCCTTGGCTACTCTCACTACACGGCTGTAGAGGACTGATGACCTCATATCTGGGCTCTTGGCATAGCAATACATCCTCTCTAGAACTCTCTGGGAGGAACACAAAAGGAGAGGACTCAGCCAAAGGATGCACCCTCCCCCCAACTACACCCATCCCACGCATCCCACACACACATACCAC